AACCTGTGAGCTGTGTTGAAGGAAACATTATTTCAGGTCTGATTTAGTAGCAGGTTCAGATGATTTCTATTTCCCTGCCCAGTGCACAGAGACGGTCACAGGATGCTCTAGAAAGACTGACTTGGGTGAGATCAAATCAAGATTAAAATCCGAATTAAAGGTAAAAGCTGGTTCTCTAAAATCAACAATGGGCGATACACAGACATCAAATGAGATGTATTGTGTGTCACTCTGAGGAATGTTCAGGAGATCCAACTCACGGAGGTTCACATGGAAAAGGATGTAGTATTACAGCTACATGATAAACGCTTCAAAAGAAGATCACTACAGGAGCTACCTTTAGGAAACATCATTATCTTGATTAGCACCTCACTGATACAATATACTGTGCTCTGAAATGACACAGCTGTTTGGATAACTCAAATGTAAAGAATTACAGATGAATAAAAATATGTTTACCACAGTTATCCTATTAGATACATTAAGAATTACAGCCAGTATTTTGTTTCCACAGCTGCATGCAAAGTGTCATCAATTGTTAGTTTCTCTAGTTTTCTCTAGTGCTTGCTGCAATTCACCTGGAAATCTGAATGCAGTTAATTCAGAGCTACATGTGAAAGTCCAAATTAAGAACAGCACTGTTTGGTGGGGGTTGTTTCTGTATTAAATGGAGAATTATGAAATTGTGAAACAGACTGTGGATCATCTTAGATTTATTCAGCCATGGTCAGACAACATAGAAACACAACACACATGGCTGACAAAGTGCAGACCATCGCTGACCAAGATCTCACAATCATTGACAAAGTGGCAAAGTCTTCATCTTCACAGTGTTGCTTATATTCTGCTAGAAAGGTACAGCCCACAAATTCCTGGCTGCTTTGGTTCATCTCTAAAAGGCTAGAAAGAAGACATCACCTTGACTCTTAAATATCAGATATATACATTTCTTCAGTCTCAGAGTCACATTTCCTTCTCTGCTCACAACAGACACTTCAATCCAAATATAACTCTGGTGCTATGAGGTCTCTTACACATGTATTACAGCTTCACAAACCTAAAAGAAGAATTACTCTGAGATGATGAAGTCATGAAAATATGTACTAACAAGCACAGTTCATGCAAAAAGGCAGAGCTTCACATACAAGTAAGGGCGGCTGTGGCTCAGTGGTAGAGTCTGTCGTCTCTCAATCTGGAGGTCGGGGATTCGATCCATAGCTCATAAAGCCACATGTCTGATGTTTCCTTGGGCAAGACACTTACCAGTAACCCCTAAACCCAAATTAAATATTATTAAATACTGATAGACACCTTGCATACAGTATCAGATTCTCTGAATGGGTGTGAATGTGTAGGTGTGACCCGTGGTGTAAAAGCACTTTGAGGAGTTAGAAGACTAGATAAGGGCTGTTCAAGCTCAAGTCCTTTGTCAATCTACATAACAAGATATTCTGGTTAGGAGGTTCCAAACATGAATCATCTCTAGGGTCAAAAGGTCATGAACTGAATAGAAAAGTATGAACGGTCATATTCTTACGTCTTTCCTCGTTTTATTTTCCTCACCTTTCTGAAAATTCTCATTTTCTTAAGACTACTAAAAAGTAACCGAATAGAGAAATAAAAAATTAAATTTTGGATATTCAGCCAGAATGCATTTGACCTTAATTGCTAGGCCTTAGGCTCCTGCACGTTTGAGGACAGTTGTGTTCTTAAAAGCCCCTCAGCTCAGTGTTGATGTCACTGCAGTGTTAAGCCTCCTGTGCATCCCCGGTGTTAATTACCTGCAAACAATACTGCTCCAACATGTAAGGTCGACACACACCTCCATCCTTAGTGAGCATAACGTTAGTTCAGGCAGGCCACAAAGTCAAACTCAGGCCTCAAATCCTACTCCATCTGCTCATAGCAACTGGTCTAAAGCCAACCCACATCGCTGATGGCTCATGTGAGTCTCGTCTAAGAACCAATTGGCATATCTCAAACGTGGTGCCTTGTTTAAACCGCTCCAGACTTTCTGCTGTCTCTGTAAGCTGAATTGCAAGTCACCTCAACCCCTGCTCCTCCTTTTCATGCTGTGCTTTACTCACCCATCTTTCTGTTGTCTCTGATGCCTGATCTGTTCTATCGGATCTCTACTGCTGTTCTAATCAGTCAGCTGAAGGAGGTCACAAAACAGAGCCATACCACCAAATATACTTTCTTTGATTCAAGTTGTCTGGGCAGCATTACAAATACTTACTCACCTCAGAGAGTTTCTAAACTGAATTTCCAAGACAAAAAAGGAGAGCGATTAGATTAAATTGGATCACAGTCAGAGGTGGCCATTGAACTGTGGAGGGCACGTTACAGTTGAGGTGACATGAAGGAAAGTGCTGTCAATCACACTGAATAGAGGATCCACACACTGCTGTGTATTAGTAGCATTGCCCTGCACTAAAGCTAATAAATGTTGGCAAATACATCAATCTGAACTTCAGTAAAAACAGAGGAAAGATCATGCTGGAGCAGCCCTGGGTCTGTGCTGTCAGCTGGTCGACACTTTGCCACAATCATCTCTGCTGTTAGAGAAGACATTCTGCTTACCGTGTGTGTGTGTGTGTCCTCTATTTCACTTATGAAATAAGCAAGTTGTGATTTATGTTACCCTGTAAGCAGGACGTCCAGCTTTAATGGTGAATTTAATGGTGAATTGCTTACTGATAAAATCAATGTTTTAAATGACAACATTTTTATAAAATGACATAAAGGATTTATTGCTTCAATTAAACACTATTATAAATGTGTTTTGAGCTGAAAAAAATATAAAGGGCTTATAGAATTGTAAAATATGAAGGATATAGTCAAGCCTCATACCATGTGAGACATTATACATAATTCAAAATGTATTTAGATAAACTTTAAATGTTCTGTTACTAAAACAATATGAATAATCCATTGGAAACATTATTGAAAATAAAATGGACAACATCAGCCTGAAAAGTCTAAATAGTAATTTCCTTCAAGTAATGATGTAGAGCGGTTTTTAAAGAAATGCATTCAAATTGATCACAGATGCTTCACAGGTGACTAAAGCATTTTCAAAGGAAGCAGCAAACATGGCGCTTCTTGTCTCTTGATTTCTATGAAACACATTTGAGTTCCAGCATCCCAGGAGAACGCATTTTCAAACAGTAAATATGAAGATACACAATTTACAACCACAGCTTTTGTGCACCACTGTCGCTAACATGCTATAAAATAACTGCCAAACGACACATCTACTAGAAACATCACATTGAACAGGCACCTGTTGCATGTAAGATTAGGTGATCTGCGGCTGTGGCTCAGTTGGTAGAGTCGTCATCTGTCAACTTGAAGGTCGAGGGTTCAAATCCCCAGCTCCTGCAGCAATGTGTCTGATAAGTCTTTGGGGAAGACACTTAACCCTGAGTTGCTCCCGCTGCTTCATCAGTGACGTATGAATGTGATTAGTTATTGTGATGGTCTCACTTCATAGCAGCCTCTACCATCAGTGTGTGAATGCGTAGGTAGTGTAAAAACACTTTGAGTAGTCTGAAGACTAGAAAAGCAGCATACAAGCTCAAGTCCATTTACCATTTACCATTTGATATGAAGGGGCCATAAGACTCACCAATACAGTCACACACCATTTTATTAAAACCAGAATGAGACACTTTTATTTGTACCGCAGAACCAAAATATTTTCATAGAACTAAACATGTTGTGTTGGTGCCTTATACTAACCTGAATTATTATTTCACAGAACCTCATTTGCACATGAACTCCTAGAAGTGTCAAAAAGGATGGATATGTAAAGAGTCACACACTGGGATTAAAGAGTGAGTGTGGGAAATTATGTGGCAAAGTGCGGAGGCTCAGAGTTAACCCTAGCTGCCTTTGAGGACAGTCTTTGTACATGGGGTGCCTGATATGACGGCTGTGTTATATCGGCCCCACAAAGATCCTACTGGTTTGTATTCATCAACTCTGTTATTTTGCTCCAGGTGAATTTTCCCAAACTTTATCTGCTTTGTGCACACATCAACTCCCCACAATCTCTCACAGAAACTTAACTGGGAAGTTAGCAGGAAAAATTCTGGAAAGAGTCGGGGTGAAAACTCGACTGTTAGCATTCACACATGCCCAACCCTAAAACTTTGGGACGTTTTTCAGAAGCACAGTGCATGTGTGACAGGGGCTTGAGCTTCAAACCCTCATGCTCAGGGCCATGTGTCTGTATGTGGTTTCATGATAACTGACACTTTGACTGGTTGGTTATCCTTCATGAATTATCAGAGGATCAACAAAGACAAGACGATTTCTAATGGCTGATCATGTCACTTTAAGGGGACTTGGTTCATTGTGTATTAAGCATGTTAGAGCTTCCCACAAAAAAGGATGAGAACTGTTATTGGACTCTAGAGCGAAAAGAAGATTTAAAAGCTATTTCAATGTTCATTTAGGGACCTTTTAGTTCGAGAAAAAAGAAAAGAAAAAAGTTGAGACATTTAAGCGGCGTAGGTGTTGTTTCTGTGTATGATTGACAGGTGATAGGCTAACAAATTAATGTTTTGAACATATTTTTTAGGAGTTTTAAAGAAATAATTAACATTTTCTGCCACCCTGTAAGATTGACATTTTTTAAATGTTCTACTGTAGGCCTATATGATTTTTATTTCTGAGCAACCAGGGTAAGCATACTTCTTTCCTAAACCGAACTGCATTTTCGACCTTTCATTTATTTGTCTATAAAATAAATAATAGCCTACATCAACATTTGTACCAAAAATGACATTAAAATAAGGATCTGTTATTTCTAATCTATGGAGGTGACTCTTGCCTGGTATTTTAGAAGCAGTACCTGAAGGCAGCACTCGAGGTAACGCCACTAAGTGCATTAAAGTGTCGTCATTTCATTGGATTATAAAACGCTTGTACTAAATGCAGTGAAAAGCGTCGCTTGTAAACACAGACGCATGCAGTCTCTCCCGTTTGAAAACTAACAGCTGTTCATGGCACAAGTCTGAAATAGGTCTGTGTGTCAACGCAGCTGCGTCCGGGTATTTCCGGGTGGCGAGAGGCTGCTCTGGTACAGCTAGCATCACTTTGGTCCAGCCTCCTTCCTCCATCCAGCCTCCTTCCTCCATCCAGCCGCGACAGCAGCCACCTGAGGCCGGAAACACAAACCGGACCAACAGTTATTGACCGGGACAGATCAATAATTGATGTGTTCTAGCTGAAAGCCAAAGCGGGGAGCAGCGAGCAGGAGTCATGGCGGCGTCGCTTCTCTCCGAGACCGACATCATGCACCGGTCCATGGCGGAGGAGGATCCGAATGGAAATGAGCACGGAGCGGCTTCACGCAGCGCTGCACCTCGCTGGGGACCGCAGCACGCCGGGGCCCGACAGCTAGCGCGGCTCTACTCTCCCGGTGAGGACGTGTTCAGTGTCCCTGTTTGTGTTGATGCTGGTGTCACTCGCTGTGTGGGTGACATGTGGAAACAGCAGAGGCCTAAAAGCTAAGACAGTAAGTCATGAGGTGCACAGGTGTGAAGAGAAAGGATGAGGATGGAGTCAGTCCTGTTTGCAAACTGCTCACAGTACGGTTAAATGCTAACTTAGCTATGATATATGAATAGTCATTAGCACTTGTCTGGTCCTCATTATGGCTGCACTGTGCAGGCTGTAAACCTGATGTAAAAAAGTGTGCAGGTCAACTGTCCCCAACTTTAAGGAACACACTTTAGTCTTATTTCAAATGAACTATTTTGTAACATGATATCATCTATTTATAATATAAACTTAGGACCAAAAGTGGGCAGGAAACAATAACAATAAGAACCTATACTTTCCCTTATATACAGAAGTTCACATAGCCTAATAGTTAGACAATCAAAATAAATACAGAATATTCAGATTTCAATGAAGACGAATGAAGGTCAAAATGAAGTTTAACCAAGAGGAGAGAAAGTTGTAAAATGCTGCAGAAAGGACACAGAGTGAAATTAGTTGTCTGAAGTTTTTATTGAGATATCAAGAAACACAAATGTAACACATTACCACTATTCATTATTTAAAATCTCACCCAATGAGTAGGGGGCTGTTTTTGTTACAAACCCCAACCTCATAACCACTTCATGGACTTGGGGTAGCAGCAAACATGATCTGCAGCACCATGATCAGAGCATGACCTGCAACATCTTGTGTCCAGTTCAGAGACTGTTGTAGTATGTACTGTATCAGGTGTTGTAGCATGCACATCCTGTTAGATCTGTCCAAAATCCAAGTTTGCCTTGAATTTGCAGAACGTTCAAGAAACAGCATGCTTTGCTGAATAGCTTTGCATTGTATTGCCGTCGTATTTAAAAACTGATAAAAAATCAATGTGTTTTAAAAAGGTTTTATAATTGATGATCATTGTCCAGGCATGTATCTGTCATTGAGTGGGACCCTGTATTTTTGGAGTTTGACCCATCCGAGGGTCTTATAGTCACAAGGGTCCAAGAGTCACGCTATCTCATGCATCAAATTTCATTGTTCTTTTTAGAACATGTCCATCCCAATCCATGCCACTCTATGTAAGTACAATAATGACATTTCCCTCCCCTTTTCCATTTGAAAAAATGGGATCTTACTGTGGTGAAGGGCCTGTGTTTGTTATACGACCTTATGACCCCAACAGGGTCCTCAGGGTCCCAGGGTGATGCTGGTCACCTGAGGTAAGGTTTGATGTTAAAATAATATGCAGAAGGAGCAGACAAAGCAACAGAGTCCTCTATACAATGTTATAATGAGAATATTTGACTTAATATCAATGCTACATGTAATTATTTGGTCAACTAAAGAGATCGTAGCGGTCAATGCACTGACTCCAGTCACAGTATATAAACGTCATTCCTCACTCCCATCATCTTGAGGTGAATTCTCTGAATAATATCCTGTTGCGTTCTCACATCAACTCACTCTGACTCTCTGCAGAAAAAATATAATGGTCTGGCAGGAGAAAATCCAGGTGAAGTCCGAGTGAAAATTTAGGCTGTTTCAGTTCACACCTACAGCTCCTCCTGGAAATAGGAGTTTTCTGCAAGTGTGAAAGCCCTAAAAATAACTCTGATTAGACTTAAAGAATGCAAACTGCCAGGTAAATGAAGAATGAGTAACAGTCAAGACCGTGGAGCTGATGCTTAGGCAGCAAAAAGTTCACAAAGCTTGAAAAGATTATCACAAGACTTTGATAAATTCCCAGTGGTTGTCATTTTTTTGGCATGGTTGGCTAACATGCATTCTGCATTTGGGCGGCTGTGCTCAGTTGGTAGAGTTGTCGCCTACCGGAAGGTCGAGGGTTCAATCCCCAGCTGGGCAACATGTCCAATGTGTCCTTGGGCAAGACACTTAACCCTGAATTGCTCCCCGTGCTTCAGTGGCAGTGTATGAATGGGATTAGTTACTTCTGATGATACTACATAGTGATCATCACTACCATCAGTGTGTGAATGTGTAGGTGTGACATGTGGTGTAAAAGCACTTTGAGTAGTTGGAAGACTAGAAAAGCGCTATATAAGCTCAAGTCCATTTACCATTTGTATCATCACGACCAGGTTTCTATTAATCTCACAAGTTTACCGTTGTGAAGCTCAAAGACAGCTTCTTCATTTTGTTTCACCATTCATTCCTTTCAGCAAAATTCTGCTCAAGATTTACAGGATTTGTCAGTTTGCTCCACACTTGTGTTCTCAGGTTCCCAGGCTGGTTTTCACTCTGCTGGTTGACATCACATCTCAACTTTGGCATATATTTGCCTTCACTGGTTTTCTATCAGATGTGGGAACAGAGTAGCTTAGGGGGAAAACATTCATCCAAGAGGATACTTTTTTTTTTTAACTGTAGATACGTTGATGGAGGACACATGTGCTTCAGACCTTAGCAAAGAAAACCTGTTTAACCAGTTGTGCATCAAGCTGGACTGTGCCACATTTTGCCTGACCATCTGCCCTGTTTCTCACTTCACTGAGCATTTTAATTGCCTCTGGTCGGACCACATTGGCCACTTGTTAGCACTTCCTAAAATAGGACAGACGATCAGATTAAAAAGGAGGTTTGCATTGCTATAACCACTTTTTTTAGAGTTAATATGAGGGCACAACGTGCGTCACGAGGCTGGCACTTAAACCAAGAGCCTGCACAGCCCTCTCTGTTTATGTTCACTTAGCACTGACCCCGGCTCTGCCTTCCATGACTCACTGAGCTGAAAACACAACTTGACTCGTCTGCTGAGTTAAGACCTTTTAAACCTATTTCTGGTTAACATCTGTGCAGTGTGTTCGTGCAGACTGCAGGACAAACCCTTCACTTGTATGGAAGATGGTGACACCAGCAGCAGTCCAATTTGACTGAGTGATGATGTCACAGTGCCATTAATGGAATTGGATTTACACTATTGTTCAGAGATAACCAGCTCTGCTCTGACATTTGGTCTTTTCTACTGCCAAGCAGCACAAACATTACACATTCATGTAAACAGAGACTGGACAGGCTTGAATGTGCAGGTGGACACACATGGTTGATTATTTAGCTTAATAAAAGTTGGAAAGAAGCAGACAGTAAGAACAGAGCAGGATGTTGGAGCAGGAACAAAAGCTTTTTGTGTTTGTCTGTAAAGTGTGTTGTCTTTCATCAAAGATCACAGCCCAAACATTAGTAACAGGTGTGGTGTCTCTTTTAGTCCATCAAACTGACGTTGATGAAAAGAGTCTTAGTTAGCCAAGTTTTTATTGGTTGAGTTGTCGCATGATAAAAAACAACAACCTTGAAATCCATCCAGGAGCTGCATCTTTTCCTTTGTCTGTGAGTGTGTTAGACCGAGCCTGTCCCTTTAAGAAAAAAAAGGCCTGGCTGTAAGGTATGCCAAATGTTCAACATTGTTTAAACTACAGAAAAGATGTTTTGCAATCACAATGAAGCACATGGTTTGTAATAATTTGTGTCCTGACTACAGCCCGCTCAGGTTTTAATGAAGCTGTACTGAAAAGGGCTGCTTCACAGTAAAATCAGCAGTGTTGATACAACACTTAAAGAGTCAATTTTAACACTGAGTCAGTGAACATATGGTCCCTATCTACAGAGTGTTAAAGTAACACTCAACGTAGTGTTGAACTTTCAGAGTCAATTCAACTCTCGTAAGAGTTAATATTCTACACTGAGAAGTGTTAATCAAGTTTTACACTACGAGGGAAATAACACCCCTAGTGTAACTTACATTTGACACTGAAGGAATTAAGTGTTAATCATAATTTACTCTTCTAAATCAACTCCTTGAGTGTTAAAACTACATCACACTCAGTGTTGATTAAGAAATTACTCTCAAAATGTCATTTTTAAATGACTCCTGCCAGTGTAAAAATATAACTGCTTTTTTACTCTCTTGAAGTGTAAGTCTTAAATACAATTGCATTTTTTAATTTTCTATCTTTCCATGCCCAAGTAAGACTCAAACAACTTAAGGTGGGAACAACACACAATTATATCAATTTCTAAGAGACATTTATTAAACACAAACATTAAATCACAAGGTTTAATACACTGAAAATAAGTGTCAATTTTCTTTTTTCATGTGCAATAGCATTCTGACAATGCGTTACATCACAACATGTAAACATTTTTAACAAAAAAAAACAAAAAGGTATTTTCAGACAACACAGGGAGGATGTAAAACAGCAGGATTACCTCAGCCAGTCAACAGATAACTTTTTATTTCCTGAATGGTGACTAACAATACAATGACTGACTTTTTATTAAGTATTTCAGTTTTCAGTATTTTCAAGAAAACTTCATTATTATATAACAGATTATTTGGCTACTTTACCGGAGTCATCCTGCTACTTTAAATATCCTCCAGAGAAAATGTCTGCAATTTAAACATCTGGAAACATGTGGACAACTCCACTACAGAAATACAAAAACACTGTCAACATTGCTTTGACACTAAACACACTGTTCAAAGCTGCATTAAATGACAGTATGGAACTACAAAAAGGGAGGAATCTGTTGGTCCATATGACACCTGCACATCCACTGGTTTGAAGTAGAAAAACTCTTGAACGTCAAACATCTTAAATGCCTGGAATGGCTTTAACAAGATTTTAAATGCATGGTAATGTTCATCAAAACAAATTGTTTCTACACTCGAGCCAGTAAGTATAACTTGCTCATCCTTGACAATAATAGTTTTGATCTTACAAAAAACCGGCATCTCATCAGCTACCTCAACACACCAACACAAGCCAGGGCGATATTCAGTGCCAAAGTGCTTAACCCAGTTCATCAACAGAACGTTTGTAGAAAGTGCAGCATTTAGTTTGGCAGCGATCTCTGGACCTTTTTCCATTTCTCTTAGCTGCGCCATCTTTCCGGGACCAATAGTTAACCTGCACTGATTGAAAGACTCCCAGTGCAAGGCCATATGTCTTTGGTGCTTTTTGGCCAATGTCTTTGTGATATTTTTGAAACTCTTCAGTTGGGTCTTGAAAAAGTTATGTTTTGCCTCGTAGCGCATACACCACGTGTAGAATAGGTCCAATATTCCTTATACATCGAGGATAATGCAACATGAAATGATGCTTAGGCAAAAGATTTTTAGAAGGAAACAGACGCTTAAAAAGCTGATGATGCTCAACAATAATGTGTTTCAGAAAGATTGTCATACCATCCGTGAGGGCAGGAGAAAACACAATATTAACTATCTGCAGAAGCAACATTAAAAGACGCCAGTACTCATTGTCTCTCTGCACTAGATCTCCAAATATCAATGGCATGTTACGCAGTAAACACCAGGACTGGATTGCATTCAGGCCCAAATCATAACTTCCGTCGGATAACTTTACTGCCGGAGGGCGATTTCTCCTCTCAGTATAGCCGTAGTTGAAAGATTCTATTCTATCAGCCACTTGTTTGGCAGTTAAGAAGTTTTCCATAATGTATTCCAAAATGAGTTTTACCTCAAACTGTGCAACTCCTTCTAATATGTCATGCATGATATCTACAGCAAAATTATCAGCCGTGTTAAAATATTGCAGTAAGTTTAATAAACATAAACGCTTCACACCATATACATGAGGTAGTTGTGGATTTGCTTGTATAGTATGGCAGTGTTCAGCGTGCATTTCCTTTGTTCGCAATATCACATTTTCTTCATCTTCACAGAATACAGTTTGAAAATCACTTTTCTCTAGGATACAAAAACGACAGCAATTTCGAGCACTGAACGATTCCACAAACCCAAACAGTCCATGTATACCAAGATTATCCCCAGTGACTTGCACAATGCTGCCATGGACAGGATTTTTAAACATAGGAACTTCAATCCCATCAGTTTCAAGCACTTTTAGGTCATTGATGATTGGCTCAAGTATGGTCTTGAACCCATAGGTTTTTATGTCCTGGGCGTGAAAAAGTGCACACAAATGTATATTGACTAAAGATGAATTTAATCTTGGGGGAAAATTTCTCAATGTGAAATATATACCCCCTAATTTATGTACCCCTTTTTTGGAACCCAATGGATTGGCAGTCTCAAAGTCATCATAAAATAACTGAATTTGCAATGCATTGTTTTCATGAGAAAAAAGAGGATGTCTCTTCAGAAACAACCCATCTTTTAAGTCTAAATATACACCGTCCTTGGCAGTGTGACTTGATGTAAAGAAATCACCAAGGTTTGGATTTCTGAGAATAGACTGCAGGGTTTCTAGAATGGGATTGTAGGCAAATTTGTCAGTTACAGCTACTTGATTGTATGTTCCAGTGCTTCGGTTTCTTCTGTTTTCAAATCTGACACCGAGTACTTTTTCACGGGTACTCGTGTTGGATTCTGGCAGGACTTGAGAGCTACTGGCTGCTTCTTCATTATATTGTGACGGATCATTATCTGAAACACTATAACTGTCTTCAATATCGTTTTCAACTACAGGCTCAATTTGCTCTGCATGTTTTGCATTTAAATGTTTCCTGAAACCTGAAAAAGTACCAAAAACATGACAACATGCTGACTGAGAACATTTCAGGCGCAGTGACTTACCAGGACAGAAACCATGAATCAATCGCACATGCCTTACAAGCATGTTGGTGCTTACAAAATGAGCCTTGCAAACAAAACAAATCAACCCCATAGTATCAAATAACACTGAGTGAAATAAGTAGTATCATGGTATTGATAGATAAGCAGCACATCATTTATGTTGACCACTCCATACATATTAATGTATTTATCTTCAGCGTAGCATTCTAGCCCTAGAGATATGAGATAATTTAAGCTACGTTTTTGATGTTATCTACTTTACACAAGAAACAATTTTATACATGAGATACAAACAGAAAAGAAAAATGGACAAGCAAAAATCAAAAAAACTTTGTCATAATCAAAGCAACAATACAAACCTTCTTGAAGACGACGAGATACTTCTCAGCTTGAGATGCAGACACCTTGCCTGGTCTTTTACGGCCTTGGGCTGAAGGTGGAATCAAGTGGAGGAGGAGGATAATGGAAGAAAGATCACTGTCCCATCCTGTTAACAGAAACAAATTAGCTTAATTTTATATGTGTCTATAAGCTACAATTCAAAAACATTGCTTTAAAGCTACAGCTGAACAATTAAATAAATCTACCAGAGGCAAGGGTGTCATCCATTTCCTCTTCATCTGACGCAGCTTCTGCCCAATAGATCAGTTCTGCAAGGTCGCTTGAGGTAGGAAGAGACTTACTCTGCTGTATGACCTTTTGCTTGAATATAGTAGGCCACCTACATGGAGAGATTTCATTAATCCCACATGAGAAATTCAAACGACTAAAGTAAAAACAAAATACTACTACCTAGTGCAGGAGGTCAGCAGCAAACAAATTATTTTATTCATCAGTGTGAGTAATGGTTACACAGGAACACAAACAAAAAAGACTCATGGGATGCAATAAACACATTTAGTGTATGTGAATTGAAGTGCCATGTGTATTTTATTTATTTTAAAAGACCACTCTCATTTGTATGATCATAAAGAAATAAAATGTGATGTTATCCTATAATATTATACAACTGTACATTTAAATTTAATGCAACCACCAGTTCTTTTGCCAGAGCTGGTCAGCACTCAAATGTGCTGACCAAGAGTGCTCTTGAGTGTTCTTAAATTCTGTTCTTACCTAAGAACAAATCCCACAAAAGAAAACATGGATGAATCCCAGAATCTTCTTAAAAAGTTCTTAAGTAGGATTTAAGGAAATGTGTTTTTAAATGGTTGGATAATGACACCCAATGTCTTTTAATATTAAGTAATAACATTAAAATACTATAATATTGTTGCCATGCTAACATAGCATAAGCTAGGTCTCATAGATTTGTGGACTTACTTTTCCAAAAACTTGGCAGCAACATCTTCACCAAACTGCAGGATGAAGTCTTGTTCGACCTGCAACAGATAAATGGATACCAAGTGGCTAATATTATAACCTTCTTGTAGTTTATTCACGGTAATCAGCCCTCGATTACTGTGAATGAGATATGTGGAATATATTCAATTGATACAAAAATGATTTGCATCTCTAAAAAACCTTCAACAATTTTCTATTGTTTGTACAATGGTGTGTGACTGATGGCTTACCAGAGTTCAAGAACTCATTCAGGCTGGGTTCACTGATCTTGACATACTTCTGTTCGTTGTGGATTTTTGTTTTAATCAACACGATGGTATCTTTAAAAACAGTGAAACTGAATCCTTATAATTATCTACAACACAAAGACACTGACAGTAACATCAGCTACACTAGAAAGGCAAATTGTATTGGTTGATTTGAGATTTAAAAATACAGTAATAAAAATTGTCAAATATAACATTTACATCCCCAAGACAATGTGGAATTTCTGAGGTTAGAAATCACAAACAATTTTGACTTGTAAACAAAGATAAATACTACTATTAACTTGTAAAAAAAAAATGTTTCTTACCATCACCAGATTATAGCACTGAACAGATAAAAAAATCTGGAAAACAAAGCAGAATCAATCATTCCATGAATTAGTTAAATCAATAAAGATAAAGTAATTTTGCCCCAGATCATTTCTTCAACACAAACCACTGCTTTGCTCAACCTGAGCGTTTTCTCATGTGTCTTTGGTGGCCAAATTTTCAATTTCAACTAACAGTCTGTATCTCTCAATTCTGGTCACAAAATATTACAACATAAATATTATAGTCTAGTGAGTAAATCAACAACAATTGTTTGATTCCTTTCTTTACTTGTTGTTTTCTATATTATATTAAAATTCAGCAAATAAATCCTCAAATCATGTACAGTATGTGCTGTTATGTTAAAAGGAGAATATAAAAGTTCCAACATTAGTGTTCAAAAACCTTTATAAATCAAATAAATTTGCGCGTTTTTATCACAGACTTTGATAATCAGGCGAGCCCCCCCCTCCACCACCAAAGTATCTTCAGATCAGATGAAGGAATACATTGGAGAAAAACCATATCAGTCTATTTCTGTTAATGTCTTATTTCTGACAAAATTTAGTTTATTTAGGGAAATAACGCTGATGTGTTTAATCAAAAAAAAGGCTTTATTAACACAGCAAGACACAGAATTAGAGAAATATTCAACTCTCCATCGCAGCCCGTGTGTGCGCGTGTGTGCGCCGTGTGTGTGCCGTCAGCAGCCCGTGTGTGTGTTGTCCACAGCCCGTGTGTGTTCCGTGTATAAGAGGCCGACGATCGCTCTGACACAGAACGCAGTGGAGCTGTTGCAGTGATAACAATAAACTTACATTACACAAAAACGTTTACACAGATGAATCGGTGACGTCGGACCTAATATTAGATAAGACTTTGATAATTTCTTCGAAAAATGTACACACGCTTTTTTTAATTAATTGTGTCTATAACAACAGCTGTTGTAGCGTTACATTAACAAACAACACTTTTAAGTTAAATTAAAACACAATGCTGTCACACATTAGGCAGGGCTGCATAACATTTAGCGTTAGCGTTCACATAATGCTACTCTGAGGAATTAATATTCAGCTAAACAAGCCAAAGTGAACCAATATAATTCAGTAACAAATTGTATGTGTGGGCGCTCGTGTCGTGTTCACCTCGTACTACCCGCGCATGCAAACGTTAACTTGGGATTCATGGTCGAGCTTACCTTAGCTAGTTTAGTCCCCACACATGCAGTATCAGCTAATTGACTTGACTGTGTGGCTTTCCAAAGAATAAAGCCCACTCATCTCTCCCCATTAACATCATTTACGTTACCTCTTGCTGATATTGTCGAGTTTTGCTTTAGTTAATGCACGTTAGTAGTATTATTATTAGTACTAATATTATGTTACTTGCACATTTAAGCTAGCCATCCACTCGGTAAACTCGGTTATTTTAAATTCCGTACACTAAGACCCAATATTCAGGTGGAGTGTATATTGAACATAAATATTAAGACATCCTAAAACACTGCTTGTGTTGAAATTGAAAATTGGTTGGTAATTGGTAGCAACTTACCGCAGACTTTAAGTCTTTGGACGACAGGAAAATGGCGCAGTGAATCTCCTGGTCGGTTTGAAACATGAGTAGGGAGTGGGCGTGTCTTCTCAGAGTACTTCATGGCTTTCAGAGTGACTTTCTTTTAACACCATGGCCTACTGGAGTACTTTTTTACTCTGCGTTTTTAACTCCACAATTTTTCACCAACACTGGGGTGCATGTTACTCAAGCGGTTAGAATAACTCTGACAGAGTATCAGAACTTTATGACTGCATATTTAACACTGCTGATTTTACTGTGTTATTGTGTACACAGTGAATTAAGTCCTTGATTTACACAACATTCCAATCAAGCGGCAACCTCTGGTGTTGAAAAATTAAGCCAATGTCGAAGTGAAAAAAAAAAACTGCAGTTCCTCAAGCGGCTACAAAAGACCCCGGAAGTCACATACACACCCATTTAAAAGTGCCAGATCTTGTCATAGCTCATCAGTTTTTGTTATTATGAATAATACGAGTTATTCATAATGTATGTGTCTGACCTGACTGATGGGTGGGCGCTGTGTAACTGTTTGTCAAGGGGCTTGAATCTCGCCTGAGCTCCAGCTTTTATTCTGTCGTTAGGTTGAATTAAAGTTAGGTTGAGACTGCATTTCCAGCATGGCAATTGATGAGCTTCCCAAGCCCCCTTCAGTAACCAACTTTTATTTATAGTCTATGGTCTTAATCATAGACATACTACATTTGACAGTAGTATGCCAGTCAGTGATTATGTTGCAGTATTTTTGGGTTAGGTTTTTGGTCTTGGAATGAGGAAGTAGACAACAGCCCAGCTGAGAGCAAAGGCCACTACAGTGTAGCATCCACTTACAATCTGAAAAAAGCTGATGAGTGATTTTTTTTGTTGTTTGGTCTAATTGTTATTGGTGGTGGCTGTGAATGTCAGTCATTTTTTCTTCTTCTGTCTTTTTTTTTTTGGCAGTTTACATTCATAAGTGTTGCATTACTGCCACTTGCTGGTGTCATTTTGATCTGACCTGGCGCTTTGAATTGTGGGAAACAATACATGATCCCTACATGATCCCTACATGTCAACAAGAATATCTTTGGCAGTACAGTCAAATTCATTGCTTCAAACAATCCTACAAAGACTACAAAGAATTAAGGAATTAATTAACTTCTTTTTAACTGGCAAGCAGATTATAAGCATCAAACATGACAACAGCAGAAAAAGAAGTGACAGCAGAGCAACCTGTAAACACAACAATATAAGAACATGATTAAAAAAACATTATTGGGAGCGCTGGTGGTGCAGTGGTTAATGCACATGCCCCATGTGTGGAGGCCATGGTCCTCCGGGCGGGCGGCCCGGGCTCAAATCCAGCCTGTGGCTCCTGTCCCGCATGTCATTCCCCACTCTCTCCCTGATTTCCAGCTCTACCCACTGTCCTATCTCTACATTAAAGGCACAAATTAGTATTAGAATTAGTGCTTTTTGACAAAACTTTCCAAAACTTCATAGTGCATCTTTTCCTCCTTAACAGTGTTCAGTTGATAAAAGCTCTTTTTTTATTTTGTTATAATTACAAAACATATATGATCAAGATGCACATTGATCCTGGGCTGTGATGGTTTTTTTTTGCCAGCCTGTTGTAGTGGTGTCTGATGCTTAAGAGGATCACACATGCATTTGAGGTCCTGACACTTTATCCTCTCTCACTTTAGCGGCTGCACAGCTTAGTAAGCAGACTGACTGTGGCTCCAGACGAGGCTGCGATGTGAGCAGGAAACTGATGATGTAACAGAGGCTCTGCTGGTCAACCCCACCAAAATAATAATAATGCAGTGAATGGTCGGACATTAATTCAGAGTTTAGGTGAATTTTTGTTTTAAAATTCAATTTTAGTAATTCATTGTAATCACTTGATCTTATATTTCCCCAAAATGTTCTTTTCAGATCAGCTTTTTTTTTTTTTTTTTAAGTAATGTGGCCTGTTTTGTTAACTAAGCATGCTTCATAATTACGTCATGCCATGCATGTGTTGTATTACACCGTTCTATACAAGTAAGCGGACTCAGGCCCGGTTAGTCGCAGTGTGAATGCAGACCAGTGGGGGAATGGGGAGGGGGGGACAATCCTGCTTAAGCACGGTCCTGGACAACTTTTCTACTGTAGTTCTTTTCAGTAAGCTTGAAGTAGCTTTATTGGCCAGTTGGACTTTCCTTGAAGATTGAATAGAGATGCCTGATACATTAAAATGGCCATGATCCACCCTGAAGGTGAAAAATGAAAGTATCTAGTTTTTTTGCATCAGTTTGAGGCATGGTGTGTCTGACTTTCTTTTTCTTTTTTTACTGTTTCTTTGTGAAATAAAAACTAACCCTAACCCATAAAATAAGATTTTGTTGGACTTGAGGGACACTATATCTCCCTGAGTCTACAGTAGAGCTGAATGATGAACGTTTATGCCATCTTTGGGCTGCTGTAGTTTTAGTTGATATGTTTCTTATGTGTTGATCGCTCGGCCCAGTAAATACTTCTATTCTGAGTTTATTGGGCATCCATGTTATTTTTCCGTTTTGAGTGTTAGTAACTGATTAAGTTCATCTGGTCCCAATAACAAATACACTTACAGTACAGTATCATCTGCGTAACATTGAACATTTATAGATTTATTTTGATGTTTCCCAGAGAGAGCATAAAGGTGGACCTACTGTTACCATTGAGCAAGCTTCTTAGCATGCGTTGATGATTTAAGGTAAACATGTCAAACCAACATTCATCTGATAAACGGGTTTAAACGAGCTTAACGCTGTTCCCTTAATGTGATTGAATTGTTCCAGTCTCTGTAACAGGATTTTACGGACATTTCAGTCAAATACACTTAAACCTAACAGGACTAGTCTAGAGACAAGTCCTCCTGTCCGGAGTAATCATGAGGTCATTGGTTACATTAAGGAGTGCCGTCTCTGTGCTGTGGGGAACTCTAGAGAGTGGCTGAAAATCATCAAACTGTTGTGTCAAAGAAAGTCACATAAACATTGGCCAACTTTTTCTCTTTGTAAGAATAAGAATGGTGTTTTGGCCCCGGTGCCTGGATCAATAATTTGAACTAGATTTAGTTACAAAAAGGTTTAGTCACTGCTACTTGAACTGTCTTTGGTAAATAGCCTCTTTATTTATCCTATCAAGCAAAGAAGTGCTAACTTAGGCTAAGACGTCTAGTTGGAATTGAACCATGAGAAAGGTTGATGTCTTACATAAAAAAAGATCATTAAATGAAGTGTAGGAAGGTCAGTAAAAACAAAATGTTTATTCAAGGTTATAGAGCTGTTTTTTAAGTTATTTTGCTCCAAAGGAAAGATGGAAAATCCCATCTATGCACCAATCCATTATATGATCTATACTGCCCTGTCCCGTTTGTTTGTTTGTTTGTTTATTGTAAACTATGGGAGGAAACAATAAGATAAAAGATGTAGAAGGGGTTCATGCTCTTCTGAAAT